TGCGCCTGTACGTAGGCAACGTGCACCAAGAGGCTGAGGTACAATGTTGAGTGTCATGTGTCATCCCGTGAGGGCCGCGGCCGACGCGGCGTGATAGGCGGGTATTTCAAGCGAGCGCCGAGTACAAACAGGTACAAATAAGAACAAAGGCGGAACGTGGCAAGGGGCCCGAGCCACTGTCCCGCTCCTGTGTCGGCCCGTTAGTGCTGGAGCAGTTCGAGCGTCTTAGTTGTCCTACCCTTTTCAAAGAACACAACTACAGAAGGAGTGTTTCTTTTCCCTCTGGGCGAAGCGACTCGCGGCGCTACTCATAGCGCCTGTTACGCGCTGGATAGGCCAACCCGCCCAGCAGCTGTGTGAAGCCGGCGACCTGACCAGAGAACGCTTGGCGCCCAATGTTGTATCCAGTTAAGAATTTTGCCGGTTTCACGCTGATCATGCTTGCGTGAGCGGGGCGGGCGAGAGGGGAGGCTGGGGTCGATTCCGCACAGCGCTTTCGTACTTCCGTCCTTGTCGCACTCACTGCACACCGTCACTGGGTGGGAGAGAGAGGGCACGAGAAAACGCTGCTCGGAATCGCAGCTGCCTCTCAGCACCTTGCCCTTCGTCCACCTCGCGCCGGCGTGAGCGCACGCTGCGCTGAGCGTGGAAACGACCAATTCCCAACTGGATATAGCACAACGTACCCTCGTGACACCTCGGGGGCACCAAAAGCAGTTCACGAAGATGCACTAGGTCGCGAAGCTGTAACTACGTCGAGCTACCCGTTGTCTGGAGCGTAAGACGCCAGACACTGAAATAGTTGCTCAATGATTTAAAACAACAGTGTATTATTAGAAGATGATACATGTAATATTATAACTAACACTACTAACTACACGAATAGAGTTTAATGTGTCCACAGCTATTCCTGTCAGACGAAGGAGCGAACCAGTGGATGGATATTAGTGTATATACAGGGGGGAGGGGGCTATCTCACCCTTGAGCTCCTGCTGTAAATTTCCTTCCACATTTCGGGGCAAATTAGAACAATTGACACTGGTCTTGAATTTAGATCATCTGCTTTCATGATTCCTGCGTGGTGGACTTTTTTCTTTCTCCAGGCGAAGTTTGTTCACTTCATTAGCAGCGAGCGACCGGTGCCTGGGCGGTAGGCAACCCATCTGGCACCACTGTACCACGGCTGCCCAGCGAGAGGAGTGCAGGGGGCCATGGGGCCGGTAATGCAAGCGCAGAGGAGAGAAAGTTTGGTGGCTCCTGCTGACGGGCACCCTCACAATATACTGTAAACGGAACAGACGGGAAACTGGAGGCGACGAAGCTGTCTGCGCACTTCCATTGAGTTACAGATTCAAAATTTACTGTGGGTGGGGGGTTGACTCTCGGGAGCTGCCACCTGCCATAGGAGCCGAAGGGCCTTGGCGGAGTCCTCAAGGAGCCCTCTCGATGGCGCCGGCAGCAGCGGAACCAGGGAGCATATATAACATAGCCGCAGCCTCTTTATAGCCAGACCAGCCAAAGGTCACACTTTTCCTCTCCATTTCTCGTCTGCAAACTTCAATGCTGCTCGTGCTTTGAAAAGTAGGAGCTTAAAGGCTGGTCATGATCGCTGAGCTGCGCGAGCTAGAGGAGCCTCAACCTGGTTAACATTGGGCTGCGCGACATCGAGTCGGCCTCGCTGCAGCAGCTCAAGGCGCTGGATCTGCCCGACAACGTGCTGTCCGCACTGGCGCAGGGCGTGTTGTTCGCGCTCGGTCTGGTGCTCGAGTACCTCAACTTGCACAAGTGTTCGTTGCGCCGGCTCAAAGGCGGGGCTCGCGAGCCTGGCACGGAATCAAACTTGAGGCCAAAACGACTAGACCTACACCGTGCTCACCCTAATCGTGCTGGACGCGTCGGGCAACGACCTTGACTGGCTTCTCGGCCAACGCGCTCTGGCGGGCCTGCGGGAGGAGGCTCTCCGCTCCGCTGCGACGACTGATACGTTCGACCACCACCAACGTGCCGTACGTAGCGCTCGCCAATATGACAGGCATCGGGCTGCTCTACATGTACGGCAACAGGCTGATGAACCCGTTAGGAAGCGTAAACTAGACAACTACTATACTAACCCGTCAGCAACCTGCAAATGTGGTGAGTCCGTCGGTGGTCTCAACCTCAGCAGCGTCCGCTAGGGAAGTCCTCTCGACTGCTGTTCGCACTGGTTCGCGCTGCGGTTATCCCACCCCACCCCCTGCTTTCAACTTCAACTTCATTCCACTTCCATGAAACCAAATAGATCTCATTAGGGGTCTGCTGCACGACTACGCTGCCGCCGCCCGCGAGGCCGGCCGCCTTCGAGCGCGAGGAGGAAACTGAACTGATGCCGCGGCCACAGCTCCGGCTGTGCGCGCCGTGTTCAGGTGGACGCGGAAGAGCTGCTGCGCCTCGTGAGCTCGAAGTCGTCTCCTGCAGCAGCGCGCAGCCGGCCTGGCCGAGGCCCTGTCCCCCGCCGGCGCCGCGCGGCCCCAGCTGCACCTGTGAGCGCCGTGTTCAGGTGGACGCGGAAGAGCTGCTGCGCCTCGTGAGCTCGAAGTCGTCTCCTGCAGCAGCGCGCAGCCGGCCTGGCCGAGGCCCTGGCCCCCGCCGGCGCCATTCAGCAAAGTACGGGAGAGTTTGGCGCCTGCGAGACTCAGGATATACCAACCTGCAATACACGCATGCATTGCAGGCAAGATGTTGCCTACCTATCAGTTGCTATGAAAGCTTGCATGGGTGCAATTAGGGGAGAATTGGTAAAAAATATTCGTACGTTATTTGTGGGCCACTGAGAGGCGCTGCGCTGCTGTGTAACACATGTGAAAACACGCCATCTCGAGACGCGTCTTGTCATGTTTTTAACAAGACCGTAACACCTCTCAGTCCCTAGTACTGAGCTAGGTTGAAACGGTACATCCCAAAGAGAGGATGTTAAGTACAACAAATTTAAGGAAGACAAAAACACAAAGTAACTTTTTGTTTC